CGAAATCGTATGAAGAATTTACGACATTCAGAACAAAAAGCTTAAGCACCAAGGAATTGAGGCAACGATGACTATAAGCATAAACAACATTGGCAGCTCATTAATGATTGTCTCATATAGGATGACATGAAAAAAAACCTAAAGAAACCGTTTATAATTACTGAATATGTACAAAAACAACTGAGTTATTTTGCAACGAAAAAAATTGAAGGACTAAATGTACAAAAACGAAAGAGAACAAAATGTGTACAAAGTAAGAAATATATTATTATATTAATTCATTATTACTGGTTTACTCGGTGATAAGAACTGAATGTATACAGTTAAATAAGTTGAATGGACAAGTATAGGCGGAAAATAAAAACTCAACAACAATATATATATATATATATATATATATATATATATATATATATATATATATATATCCCTTAGCATTCTCCAACCGTCGAGGATTATTGTATTAATCGAAAATTTAGGAATAATCCGTCTTAGCAGAATTAATCGGTCAACAAAAGTAAAAAAAAAAAAAAAGTCACAAAAACTAAAAATTAAAAAAAAAAAAATCTAAAACTCAACTTTTTTACTCCACAATTTTCAAATTTTAAAAATTTCAAATATTATACCAAAATTTTTATATTTTCGTATTTTCGTATTTTCAAAATTTCTTATTTTCTAATTTTGAAGTACTTGTTTTTCTTAAAATATATTAATATTTGATTAATTTTAATATCTATCTCTTCTAATAAACAAATCTTAAGTTTGCCACATATCCATTTTCTTTTCTAGCAACCTTATTTGCCACATGAACCATTCTAAGTTCTTGCTGCTCTTATTAGTTCTATTCCACTAATTGTGGTTATAGTTCCAATTGACGTTCAAAATTTGAAAGAAAAAAAAAATTATATACTAATTATGAATTTTGAATTCTTTGTTTGATATAAATAGTATCTTAAATTTACGAAGTCAATTCATTATTTGATATAAATCATATCCTAAATTATAATTCGAATTCATTGATATCTAATTAAACATTCTAATTTAAATAGCCTAAAATTATGCTTTATCCCATAAATTAAGGATTAATAAACGGACACGCCTTTTTTTTCTTCAAAATCATATTAAATTTTCTTTTTATATATACCATCAGCCCATAGAATCGATCGAACAAGAACTTCTCTTGTTTCTACGTATTTCGTTTGCTATACAATCATAACCAAATAAACGAGAATATACAAGCTAACTTCTATCAAAGTTCGTTGCTATAATATTCAATGTATGTTGGTGTTTGTGTTGGTTTCTATTGTTGTGTATGGTTCATGCTTATTAGGTTTTGGTTATCTTGGTTCTCTTTTCTTCCTACATATACAAATAAATAGAAAATCAAAGTACTATTTTTAAGTATCTGTAGTCATGCTGTCTTTTACTCTTTGTCTTCATAAAACATTAAATATTAAAGATCTTTCAGTGGTATGTCTCATATAGAGTAAATAATTAATCTCATAAGTTTTTTTTTTTTTTTTTCTGCATTTTTTCTATTTGCCAACATTTTTATTTTTTGTTTTCTATAATTTTTTTTTGGATTTGTGTATGTGTAGCACTGTATGTTTTGATGAAACATGAAATAGCAATGTGCCTCCAATGGTATGTCTTATATAACATCCTACTTTTATAGATACATAGTACAAGTTTTAAGTTTTAAATCAATTAGTAAAGTGCATTGCTAATTTTTTTACTTATTACACATGGACCTTTATGTTAAATAATTTTTATATAGCATCCTACTTTTAATTCACACTTGCATATTTATTTTAATCAAGTATCAAGAACATTGACATTGCTATAAAAGTAGGTATAACTATGTGAACCCATCTACTATTCAAATGTTTACTGTAACTTAGTTTCAACTTTTTTTTTTTTATTTATACTATTAATTTATACTCAGCAACTAAGCAAAATGAATGATTGTTTTATCCAAATATTTTATTATTTTTTGAAGTGATGATAATTAGTTTATTTCATTAAACCTTTCAAGTTTCAATACTATATATATATATATATATATATATATATATATATATATATATACACTAGCCGTTTGCCCGCGCAAAGCGGCGGTGGCGAATAGTTTCTTTCAACCAATTAGTTCCATTAAGAGACACGTTATATTTCTAAGAACACTTGCACCATTATCGATCGGTTTCACAAAAATAAAAAATGCAATGCCAAAACTAAAAAAATATTGTGGTGGTGGATTCCATAGAGAAAAAGGAGATGCAGATTTGAATTAGTCTCCAGTCAACTATATTTTATGCAAAAAATTAGGGAACTCCAATTTGAATGAGCTTTTAAATTTCAAACGATTTGTCGAAAAGAAGTGTTTCAGATTTCGAATGCACCAGATACCAGATAAAATATATTTTAAGAGTACAAGATGGATCAAAATTGATGAAAATACTAATTCAATCCATAAAAATAAGGAAATACTAATTTAAAAATGCTTTTAATACTTGTATCCCTAGCATTATCATTTGTAAGATATATATTATAATATTATTATATTAATAATTGGTTGTACTTTAAGCTTAAAGATTTGAACGTCTTAAAAAATATTATTATTATATTGATTCTATTTATAGAAATAATAAGATTTCTTTTATAAGGTAATATATATATATATATATATATATATATATATATATATATATATATATATATATATATATATATATATATATATATATATATATATATATATATATATATATATATATACCAATCGATTAACTTGATAACTATTTTAACAAAATGCCACAAACATAAACTTAAAGCTTTTACAAAATGTTTAGCTTTAAATAAGTGTATATCATCTTCATTTTAAAGTAATTGTGGTTTGTTTGTTTGTTTTTTTTTTATCTTTTTATTTTGCAGATTCAAAGAAGAATATGGAGTATACCGATTAAAGACATTAGAAAATTTAGAAAATTATATACAAATAATAAAAAATCCAAAAATATTTATACTACAATCAGTTGTTCAAAATCTATACAATACACAAGTTTTTAACATGAATGCGAATAATGATAGTTTGAGGGTTTTTTTTTTCGTGTATAATTGTTTATTTTTTCACATTAATTATACCAAAATTAAATGTTTCCTATTACACCATTATGTTTTTCCCATTAATAATGATTTATATAACATTATTTAATTATTGTAAAATTTTTAGATAATTATTAAAATTATTATGAATGACGATCCTACACTTACCCGTATAAGATCAATTATTATATACATATAATTGTTTGTAATAATATGATTTTTTTTATCAGATAACTTCTTTTACTGTCAACCGTATAACACACATGTTATAACCTAGTTTTATTAATAATCTATAGTTCGTCAAGACGAGACCCATCCGAGAGGGTGAGCGATAGGGCGACCGTCCAGAGCTTATCTTTTAAAGACACCCAAATTTTTTATGGAAATTGTGATAGTACAAATAATTTTCTTTCAATTATTGAGTAATTATAAACTTACGGGCTTGAAAATTTATTTTGAAATTGATTTCTTAATAAAACTTTATTTGGAAAAGACATTTAATCTCGCATTTGAAAATATTTCTTAGAGCCATAATCGTGGTTTTTAGGAATCATTTCACCACCCACCGTTGGGTTTCTCATATGGATATTTTAACTTTTAAAATCATTGATTAATGGTTTGTTCGTTGTCCTATCTATCGGTCATTCGGCCTGAGATACGAAACAAGGATTGTGTTTTCAATGGACAGAACTTCAAAAATGGTCCAGTGATTTTCGAAAATATCAAGTTTAGTCCTTAAGTTCAGAAAACCTCATAGATGGTTCCTGTGGTTTCAAAACTTTTAACAGATGGTTCTTTTCGCTAACTCCGTTAGCTTTTAGCCGTTAAGTGAAGGGAAAATCTGTCATTTCACAATCACAGGGACCATTTATGAAGTTTTACATTTTTTTTAAAAAAAATGAAAAAAATATAATTATTTAATATTAAAGGGTCCCTCTCTCTCTCTCTCTCTCTCTCTCTCTTCTGTTTTCTTATTCGTCTAGCACCACACAAACACATTGTTGTCCCCATTCATGCTCTCGATATTGATAGTCTAATAAATCGGTTGGAAAATGGGGAATATAAGTCGTGCACTGAAGGTGTTCGACGAATTGCTTGAGAGAACATCTTTGCCCACATTCATCATCTTGAGACACTGCATCGGATTTTCCAGTGAATAGATCCCTTCAAAGTTTAGTGAGAGATAGTGTGTGATTGAGTTCTTGATGGTCGTCGGTAAGAGAGAGAGAGAGAGAGAGAGAGAGAGAGAGAGAGAGAGACCCTTTAATATTAAATAATAATATTTTTTTAAGAAAAAGGTAAAACTTCATAAATGGTCCCTGTGATTGTGAAATGACAGAAATGCCCATCTGTTAAAAGTTTTGAAACCACAGAGATCATCTGTGAAATTTTTTAAACTTAGGGACTAAACTTGATATTTTCAAAAACTATAGGGACCATTTTTAAAGTTTTACCGTTTTCAATAGTGCTCAATAGTCACACGTGGCTACAAGGTTGGATCCAATTCCTGATTTCTCTCAGTCACCCAGAATGTGAAAGGTCAATTTTATATATAACCAACTTTTACTGTTCATATAAAAACAAAACTTTGGTAGAAATTTTTGTAGCATATCTTTTTATATTGTGAATAACCAAACCTAAACAAATCCACTTCTATATTTTAAAACTTCATATTTGTTGGAATTTTTTCCAACACTATTACTTTTTAAGTGTGAGAGTTGTACGAGTATAAGAGTATCAATTTTTTCCAACACTATTAATTTTTTCCACTATGAGTATGAACCTAGTACTGTTTGAGTTATACCGATGCTAACAATTACGTGGAATCTGGTGATTTACTCTATAGCCTCTAGGCATGTTCAAAAATGTTTATAGTAGAACATGATAAAAGTAACTCACTAACCATTCTTTTTGTAGGTGCTTGACTGACTTGACTGGTATTTTGTGTGGAAATAGCAAGATACCTGCACATGTAGCATATTATATATATATTATTATATATATATATATATATATATATATATATATATATTATATATATATATATATATATATAATATATATATATATATATATAATATATATATATATAACCTTAGCGAACGTTAACTTTCTGTTCATCGTACTCATTGATGTTTTTTATTAAAATGATGTAAGACATGCTTACCGAATATGAACATTCAGACGATGGCACCCACAAGTTAGAACTACCCGTGTCAAATACGACTTTAAACTTCTGAGGTGGGGTGCCAATGCCTATCTCACCAAAATATTGAGCATCCATATAGTTCTTCAATGCTACAATATCGGGCTCTTGGGAATCACCAAGATTCTTTGAACTTTGCCTATACTTCCTTATAAACGTCTTTAAGTTATAATCACCATTATTCAAAGCAAGGAGGGAAGCTATATCATCTGTTGATTCGGATTTCACTTTTTTCAGTCCAATCCTAACAAGCCCATCAGTTGATGTGGAAAATACCGGAGTGTAGAAAAGGGTTGACAAGAACATTGAAATTGCTAGGATTTTTAGTTTACTCCCCATGTTGACCTGAAGTGGGTCCACCGTTAACATTAATTAGCATATGTTACCATGTATATATATAACAAAAACTCAAAACTTGATCAAATATAAGTTTCTGCTTATATATAAGCCATAAACCAAACAGGTTACCACTTTTTTAATAATTTCACATTTGAGACAAACTACGAAGTAGTAGTGATATATTAAGAAAACGAACAACGTACAGATCTCACCGACTGGTTGATTTCTTCTTTCTTTTGGAAAAATAAAACCAAATGCAACCTCAACTCCCGTTAACCTTTAGTTGAAAAATTAAACCACGAATATTAATAAAATACAGACTGAACTAATTCCGCTAATCCTCAAGGAATTTAGGGTTCATATAGAGTGAATGAATATATAGCTAACGCAACGCCGAATATCTCTCAGTTCTAACTGTCCAGTTACTCGGTTACGTGATCTCATCCGTATATTGTAGATACAGTCGTGTCGCTCTAATATGATGAGATTTTTGTGGTTTGACCAAAGCACACCTTATACTTTGGAGTTAAGATCATTTAGCTCCTAATGGTTTTGGCCACAATTCTATTTTGGTACATATAATTAATCTATGCTCATGCACTTTTCATCTTCAAAGTTTGATAAAATTAAACAATTCTGACATGGATAAAATCGTCTTGTAAACCTTACAAATGGACTATGTAAGCATGTTATTTTGTTTGGATCAGGTCTCTTAGTTAACTCTTTTTTTGGGAAACACTTCAAAGAAAACCCAACTTACCATCCTTCAAAGCATGAAAAACCACAGTGTTATTATTTTTTACAATAAAACCATTTTTTTCTGATTTAATACATTAATCAAACATTTATTTTCCCATTTATTCATCATATTTTTCTCTTCAGAGCCGCAATAGTACTACTTGTCAGAATTACCGAATACCCAGCTATCCTTTAGAAATTGTCGTTAGGTCATAAGATATATCTCTACTAGTCACGTCCTTAATTACCAATTATCTGGAAGCCACATGGATTCAAACTGGAGAGAATTCAAGTATCATACTAATACCATCACCATTTCTATGATCGGAATACATTTAATCTGACAAGTTAACTATACTAGAGCTCTAATAATCAATAGCATTTGAGATTCACCCGGGGGAAGTCAAGAGTAAAGTTGCACATTGGGGTTGGGCTTTCAGGCCGAACTTGGTTCAACCCGGTCCATGGGTCAGGAATGTGAGCTTTGTACAGTCTAATACCACGCTAAACAATGATACAAGGTTGAATGGACTAAAAACCTAGAGATATAAGCGGACCTATGTCGGGATATTATGCTTCAAAATTATAGAAAATTCGTATAACATTTGCGAGATGCATGCAAACTCAAGAGAGTTTGATGTGAAGCAAAGCTAATAAGGAACTTTTGATTAGAGGTACAATGAGTGGATAAAAAGCAATACAATAAGCAAATTTAAAATTTTCATATTTTTAAAAGACCTATTATACTTACAAGTTATATAAGATCTATCAAATCCAAAAATAAAAAGATTTTTAAAATAGGGGAAAATGATATATATGCCCTATAATGTTTTTAGGGTTCACCCATTTAGCCATTTAATTTATTTCCGTGGGGTCTTTGGTGTTCTACATTGACCTTTCTGCAAGTCAGGGACCTCTCTACATACCAAGTCACGTCCCGCTTCATGCAGGGCCACAGGTAATCGGGTTGAAGATCTCTGTACATCTTCATCGCCCTTGGGTGAATGGAGAATCGAGACTTATGGGCCTCATCCATCAACACTTGCTGTACTCCGCCCCAGTATGGTACCCAGACCCTCCCATGTAGGGTCAACAATCCTCAACTATCGTAATCAAAAGAAGCCACTCGACCTACAATCCTTTCACACTTCTGCTACTCCTCCTTCCGGCCCTAGACCTATGCCTCCATAATCTGCTCCAACAAGGGAGTCATCACTGTGATCCTCAGATAGACATCACGGGCCTGAGCCACAACCGTCTTGTGGCTCAAAGCGTCGGTCACTACGTTAGCCTTGCCTGGGTGGTAAAGGATCTCACAGTCATAATACTTTACTACATCTACCCACCGACGCTGCCTCATGTTCAGATTCGGCTGATCCATGAGGTACCTCAAACTCTTGTGGTCCGTGTAGATGGTACATCGGACCCCGTAGAGGTAATGCCGCCAAATCTTTAAGGCAAACACCACCACCCCAGATCTAAATCATGCGTCGGGTCCGTAGTACCATTTACATAAATCACAAGAGCTTGAGGTATTTAATGGATCAACCAAATCTGAATATGAGGCAGCGCTGGTGGCTTGACGTGGTAAAGGATTATGATTCTGAGATCCTTTATCACCTAGGTAATGATATAACGCCCGTAGATCCGGGCTAGTCAATTTAGAGATAATAGGGGTCGAAAACGAATTTTCGACAAAAGATTATTTAGAAAAAATAATGTTAACCAAGTTGTAGAATATGTCTTAAGGGTTCCCTACATATAAAGAGAGCCGAAATCCAAGTTATAACGAAGAAGTTATGACCCGTCGAAGTTTCACGATGGAACCGTCACGACACCAAGGAGACGTAAATAGTAAATTTATGATAGAGCGACTTTTAGCCTTAGTGATCTAAATGAAAGTCATAGAATATGTTAACCTGAGAGTGTCCATAAAAAGAACGCCCAAATCTGACTTCGTATAAGGAAGTTGTGATTTTTCTAAGATTTGGCTTAGCAGTGCACGACCCGAAACTCAAATTTTAGTTCGAACGGTTTTTGGCTTATGCGACCTAAATGAGAGTTGAAAATCTCATTAATAAGAACTAAAAAACGGAGTCTGTATGAAGGAGTTACGAATTTTTTGCGGTCATTTAACAGTCTAATCTTCTTGTACTGTTAAATTTAGGATCAGTCGAGAATTAGGCAACGGAGTCAAAATGAAAGTTATAGATCTTATTTTTATCTACGTGTGGATATAAAGAATCTAAAAAACGGAGCTCGTATGTGAAAGTTACATATTTTAGAAGTCGGAAGTGTGTTGTGTGAAAATAGGTGACGTGGCACAATTTTGGCCATTGTTTTCTCCCCTAGTCTTTCCACCAGATGGTGACATATGGCACCAAGTTCAGCCATATTCCACCCTATAAATAGAACCTCTCCCACCCTCATTTTCTTCACATATTTCCCATTCTTTCTTCTCTTTACTCTCTCTGTAGAACCTCTCTCTAGCCCCGAAACCCCCCGAAAAGCCTACGGAACCTCCCTAGCACGAGGAGAAAGCCCCAGAGTGCTCGAAGGCTCCGAGAAGAAGAGCTTTTTGACTCGGGTACGCTGCTCCAAGCAAAGTCCGATTTTCTATAAAACCCGCTATAAGTGAGCTACACATATGCAATTTTTAATATAGTTTTTATTTAATTATAGTAACGTTATTAGGAACTTATAATAAGTACTTGGGATATTATTATGAGTTATATAAGTATTGTTTAATGCTTATATAATAGTAATAATAGCTAGACTATTAATTAGTCTCGGCGAATAATAGACTAAACTCTAGTGGTAATAATATTAGGTTTCGTCGAAGGAAACTATTTTTAAGAAGCAAAGCACTGTCTGAGTTCGGAATCACCACTTTTTCAAGTGAGTGCATAGTTACTTTCATCTTACACATAAATATGAAGTATTTTATATAAATTATGTGCTATGTGTGCACATTATTTGAATACTTTCTATCTATGCTGGATGAACAATTCTATACATGTTTTAAAAGATTTAAAACAGACAATTTATTTTATAGCTACAAATATGTTGCGGATGAAACATGGGTAGATGAAATAGTTGGTGTGTGATGAAATAAAATGATGAGAGATAGGTGATGATAGAAAGGTGATGATAATTAAGTAAATAGATGATGATAAATAGGTGATGTAGGATGAAAGGAGATATCATAACCTTAACCGGCAATGTGGCGATGTAGTCATCTACCAGAGTATAGATGGCGATCACAGACTATTCTAGACAACCCCGTGGAAACACCAGCAGACCCATAACATGTAGGTGATGAATTACGATTTCAGGCGATGTTGTAACTACATATTCATGCGATGATACTCTAACCCCGTACTAATGAATTACGAGTTCAAGCGATGTTGTAACTACGTATTCATGCGATGATTCCCAAACCCTTGTTGGGCACGTATTGAGGCAGTAATCCCTAAATCAATGTTGTCTATGCGATGTAGGCGATGATCCTTAAGGAGAGTCCTTAGGAACAAACATATAAGGAAATGCGATGTAAGGAGATGAGAGGTAAATATCATGTAGGAGACGATCCTTAGGATAAATCCTTAGGGAAGGTACTTAGGAATAAAGAAGATAATGGGGATGGGTATTTGGGTTAATTGTTTGATGATTAAGCATAATAATTATATTATTGTGGGTTGAAAACCCTATGTACTCACCAGGTTTCCCAACCTGACCCACTCAGTTTACCTGTATCACAGGTGACGAGGTGGAGTTACATTACACTAAAAGATTAAGGAGATATAGATCACTAGTGTGCATGAATGTAAGTTCTGTTTATGTTTATGTTTCTGTATTGACGATGACATCCAAAATGTTTTAAAATGAATAAAAATATATTTCTTCGGAAATGCTTTGACAATGAAATTTATCATGTTTTTTCTGGGAACAAATTCCGCAATGTTTTTATTAAAAGAGGTACTCTGATTTTTATAAAGCATAAACACAATCAGTATTTTCTAGCCGTGAAAATGGGGATGTCACAAATACCAACATGATGGCCGACACGCTCAGTCGTAACGTGGCAAGAAAATATATTCGAGATATGCATCTGAGGATAATAGGGAATACTCCATTATTGGAGCGGATTTGCAAGGCTTGGTGTCACACCCTAACCGACGGTGGAAAACGATGGGGTTGCGATGTTATATAGTTAGATCACAGTCAACCACATATATCAAATACTTAACATATTTGAATTCATATTTTACAAACCTTTACTCTTAAGGTCAAAATGACCACGTAATGGATCAAACCTCCATCTTTTGAATCTCTATATCTTAATCTTATCTGGTTAATGAATTAAGCATCACATAATACCTAATTAACAATAATATACTATAATTCATCAATTATCATCATCACTGGTTAGGGTTTCTAACCCTAACTCTCACTGGATTGATCCCACTTATAGGGATCACATACAAGCTTGTTTAAGGCATCTAACTACCTTCTTTAACAGTACTAACAAGATTTGTTAACAAAATTTTACTCCATAAGCTCAAGTCATAAAAAACACTATTGAATCCCTACTAGCTTTTTTCCATCTCTAATCCAATTCATATACACCCAAGACTACCCCTTGTCCTTTCTTCCTTCTTTAAATCATTAGAGTGTTACATGGGAGGGTTTGGGAGTGCAAAATGATGAGAATCAAGGTTTAACAACCTTTTACTATGATGCGTGAGCACGCTGCAACAACTATTTGACCTCATTCAAAGGACGTGTGAATGCTTGCCATGTCGTGGCATTCTTCTTGCCACACTGTGGTACTCTAAATCCACTAGCAACCTACTTTGACCACCGCGACGTGGCAGCCATGTGCTACGTTCCAGAGCAAGGTACGATGCCTTATTTTCAGATGAAAAACTCACACTATGTCGCGACAACCTACCGACTGTGCCATGAATCTGGATTGACAACAACCCCTTCGGTTGATTACATTCTAGCTCTGGGACAATTTTGTTGTAAATTCTGATCTTCATATCTTCTTCATTTCTTACCCATTTTCTATTTTTTTATATCCATGCAAAGGAGAGAAGATACTCTACACGTACGTTAAGTCATATCATAGTGACTTAATAAAGGTCTTAGTATATATAGTTATAAAGTTGGCCCAAAAAGCATAAAATATTCATTTTACCCTTTTGACCAAAAGTGCATCTTCTCATGAATTCTTTCTCTTGAAATTACTCATCTAACCTTGTCTAAGTGACTTGAACTCTTATTGGCTATTTTCATGAAGTCACAACTTCATAATCCCATCTAATTCCCTTTTTGGCCAATAGTTGATTAAAGTCAACTTTATCTAAATTTAAGGATCTTACACACACACTAATGTTCTATAATGGGACCCAGTTTGCAAACAACCCATTTCAAGGGTGGTGCTAGGATCTCTCAATCAATAAGAGGTTCACGTATGTGGCTCAGCTGGGAGCTAGTCGCCAGACAAAAGTTACCAACATGAAAATAGTCCACGGTCTAGAAAAAAGATTGGACATTGTGAAAGGAGGTTGGATAGACAAATTACCAAGCATCTTATACGTATATAGAACAACGTCGCAAATAGCAACCAAAGAGGCATCGTTCATGTGACAATTGGGAAAAGTTCGTCACCAACCACCATTAGAAATTTGTATAGACAAATAAATATAATAGAGTATCAATGTAATATTTCATGTTATAAATAAATATGGTTCCGTATACTCTTGCGCATAAGAATAAAACGAATAGTAAGCTAAAAAATGAGTGACCAAAAAGTCGTATCGTCTTCTAAAATGGTTAACATATTCGGAAAGTACACAGGAACGTGAATACAAGTATTTAAACTTCATAAAACTCTAACTTCGATTGGAGGAGCTATGATTTTTATAAAAAGTAATTCAACAATGTAAATAAAGTTATCAACATCAAAATAGTATTATGAGATCAATCAAGTTTTGGCTATTTTCACCAAAACGGGAGTCGTAGTACTCCTCGAGATAAGAACTTCAAGACAAAGAAAGCCGGAAACGGGGTCTATATGAGGGATATTTGATTTTTATAAAAGCATTTAAGTTGTATTACTCGTCAAGATTATCACATAATTATAAAAGGGTAAAGATCAGAGCTCGTATGCAAGAGATATGATTTTTCAAAAATCATTTTTGTGTGTGCATCGGGTGCGTCGTGCATGGCGTGCACTCTGACACTGAATTCGAGTATATTGCAGGTTACATGCCCTAGAGAGAAAATGACTCGTGGCGACTCCCGGATGGAGCCACGATGCTGATAATCGATGCACACAGATATATGTACGGCGTGTACCTCAAAAGCCAACCATCCCGAAGCAGTCTCCAAAGTTCTGAGTCTTGAATCTACCTCACTTCAACGAATTAGGCTACTAGGGTGAGTTCACGGTCTAACTTTTATTGTTTTTTAATTGTTTTATTGATAGTATACATGGTATAAAAATATATCAATGATTTTACAAAAAAAATATTATTATTTGTAATATATCAGTAGTTTACACAAATACATAAAACATTACGATAACATTATATCTAGAAGGTATCATGCCAAAACTTTAGGAATGATATTATGCCTAGTGGTTATGCTCCCCAAAACGAGATTGAAAAATTATACCTAGTTTTTATGTTGGCCTATAACCTAGGATAACGTACTACCTAGTAGTTATGCTGGCCAAACTTAAGTATAAGAATTCTCCTTAGTTGTACTCTGCTCTAATATATTAATAAAGAATGTAAGTATAATGATATATATATATATATATATATATATATATATATATATATATATATATATATATATATATATATGGTATCAGTATAATTATGTAAGAAAATAATATTAAATGAAAACTAAATGGAATAATAATAAGATAAATATTCATACTTTAAGGTTAAATAAAACAGTTGTTAAACGAGTATCAATATTCATCCTTTAGCCGATTAAGTTCAGCTACCATCACGCCTGTAATCGTTAAATCGTAAGTGAGCAGGAAATAGATGTATAGATTTATACGTGATTGACACCCCACTTGTGGTGGCTAGCTAAAACCCATGATGGTAAAGTCATAGCAGACATAACTTTCAAATTTACATCACAAAGTCCAATGAAGCGTTGGGACTTAGCAAATATCAAGTCAAAAGCTCGATTATCGGGACTTGTAACATTGTCAATCAACCTTAATTAATGAAACTAACTAGAGGGACCGCCTTGAAAGTAGTTATATTATGAAAAGATAAGAAAAAAGGATAAAAATCTATGAAAAAAAAGTTATAGGATAAATACGAACAGAGTAATATATCCTACAAAAATATGATACAAAGAATAGAAATCTTTTAAAAATAAATGATAAAACTATTCTAAAAGTATAAAACCATAAAAACATGTAGAGTCGATTAAGAATATATCCTTTAGCCGATTAAGTTCAGCTACCATCAACCTAGTATATGGGTCAAAAGCAATAATACCACTGGAGTTAATGGTCCTAACTGAGCAAACGATGAACTTCAACCAAGCCAACAATGGCAATGGATTAAGGATAAATCTAGAGTCGTTTATAGAGAGATGAGAAATAACAGCAATCCGACAGGAACACTATAAGAAGCTGACCTGAAGCCATTACAACCAGCGAGTCCAGGACATATTTTTTAGGGTGGGAGAACAGTCCTAAGAAATAATGTGGCAAGCTAACAAGAATTGTAGGGCAAGCGAAGGATAATGTGGGAAGTACCATACAAAATACACGAAGCAAACAGGGATGGATCGTACACACTGAACCATGGACGGAGAAATGGTGCCTAGGTTATGGCATGTGAAAATTTTAAGAAAATTTGATGTATAAAAGGGAAGAATGCCAAGAAAAAAAAAAAAACAACACTTCTTTGGAACTAATGCCCCAAATAACTTGCACGTGGCAAACGACAACCCGACATACATAAAGCATGATCTTGATGTAAATTATACCATGGCATGGTCAAAGCAACCTAACCTACACAGGGCAAACGACAACCCAATATGCATAAAGCATGGTCTTGATCTAAAAGACTTATTACAACACTTTACCGGTGTTAGACTTAAAGTCATTCAATCATACAACAAGGCACGTAGGTGATTGAATGTTCTCGTGTCGGACCAACTCTAATTTATTGTATTATCAAAAAGCACAACAATTAGATAATTAAGTACATAACTTGGTATAAAAACAATTAACCGGTCTGATGAAAAACGATGGCTTTAATTACACACACATGCATACAAAAAAAAAAAGGACAAGTGCATTCAAGCTCTATTTATAATACATACGATTTTCCAACAATACCAAGAACTATATGTATATCCATAAATATTTTGAACTCACATGAGGCATCTTATTACTAGTATTAAACGTTACACTTTATATTACTAGATACAAGAAAAGAAGATACGTTAACACCTTTTTTAATTATGCCGATTCTGCAAATCCAATTCTGAGATTACCATGATCAAATATAGTGTGGTAACGACGCATAAATGCATCACCCAGTATCCTGCATCACATGAATCAAGAAAAGACAGTCAAACTCGACTTTGAATACCTATTATTAGAATTATTGCACTTTAGTCTGATGGCCTTATACACGTACCAAAGCGGGGCACCCTCAGGTGGATTATCCATAGGAATGAAGGTACTTACGCACTGAGCACTAGCACCCTCGCCAATCTTAGTTATGTACTACAAAAACAATTACAAAATATATATGTATATTTAAAATGCTTGACTAAAAGTGGAAAAATGACAAACAACTATTTCTTAAACTAATTCTAACTATTGTGTTCGTATAACGATACCTCATTGGGAGAAAGTTCGAATTCTTTGCCCCCAATCGTAAATGAAATAGTAGGCATAAGAGGAAGTCTTGCACAGTCTACGGTTGACTCTCCTGCTAAACCCGCCATAGCACATAGCTGAAATGTAGGAGTCGTCATACGTAAACAAACAACATGCAATCTATGTGTAAAGGATACTAAAAACAAGAATAAAGAGAACTCACTTGGCTGAAAAATTTAATGACTTCACCTCGTGTCATGTTGTTTTGGATCTGTTTATACACGAAGTCTACTACACTCTCACAGGCTTTACATATTGGGAGTTGTGGAGGTCCAGATAAACCATCACTCATATCGAACGAACTCCAAATGTCATTACTGTGCATCATTCAAATTTTCCACGATAAGATATTAACTCGGAGCAAAAGGATCAAATTTTTAGCAGACAAAAGCAATTAATGATTCCATCTTTGTAGATAAATGCTTATAAAAGAAGTAAGAAAGAGGAAATTAATTAATTGTAGAGTCAACATGTAAAATGGGCAACCAGAAAAGGGATGTTGGGTATTAGAATACTTACCCGTCAACAGCTTTATCACCAGGAACACAAAGTGTAATACGGGAGCAAAAATTCCCAGGTTCTTTAAACTGTTATAAAAGAAAATCATATACGAATCTAGAACATGTATTTAAGTTCCAACGTTAGAAAAAAAAAAAAGAAACTGTTTATGTTACCATTATGAAAAACATATCAAAGATTAGGTTTCCCACTTTCCGAATATCTCTATGACAATGATCACTAATGAATCCCATAGCCCCGATTGCAAGATTTATCTCTGTGATGGCATTCTGAAAGCCACAACCACAGATACGAAGATCAAACCAACTTATAAACATTTAAAATAAAAGGGATTAATTATAGCCCAGAGGTATGAGGATTTGGAATGGTGCCACTTAACCAATAGGTTAATGGATAAAAGTGTAGTTTAGAGTAATTAGAGCATTTGAAAAAAAAAAAAAACAAAAAATAATTAATTAAATAATAAATAAAAAATAAAAACATACAAGCACTTAAAATAAAAAATTATGAGCTCATACACAACAATGCAATAATAAAAAAATAAAACAAAAAAGAGGCACTTTTCAATGCAACTAGATCTCAAGAAACAAAATGATACAGACCATTGGACCTGCTATCAATGAAGTTCCCGAATCTACAATTGCCGAACATCCGCCCTTACAAAAGCCTGAAACAAACACAAGACATCGTGGCAGATCCAAGATCCAACATGGCAACATCCAACATAAATATAATAATAATGTTCCTCAATTGCATACCAGTAGGTCTCCCATCAATAAGTACATCACCCATTTCGAACTAGAAAAAAATAAAAGGAAAAACTTAATATATATATATATATATATATATATATATATATATATATATATATATATATATATATATATATATATATATATATATATATGTTTAGGTTCTATGGAAAACAAAAAACCTTAAAAAAAACCCTAAAAATCATAGAAATGCATAAAAAAATACTTAGAGATCACAAAACTTTTTTTTGAATTTTTTTTATAAAAAATCGCAGCTTTTTATAAAAATTCGCTGATTTTTTTTTTTTTAAAAAGTTTTTTTTTTCAAATTTTTTTCAGCGATTTTTTCTTAAAAAATGTCAAAAAAAAGTTTTGTGATCTCTAGGTATTTTTTATGCATTTTTATGATTTTTAGGGTTTTTTTGTTTTCCAAATAACTTTTCCCTATATATATATATATATATATATATATATATATATATATATATATATATATATATATATATATATACATATATATATATGGGAAAATTAAATATACCCTTAAGGGTATACAAGCTTAGGTACCCAAACTCATCATAAAACTTCATTTTTTTATATATTCATTATAATGTTCTTAAATATCAATCCTAACTTGATTTACTTTTAAGATTTTCAAAATTTCACTATTATCTTTCTCTTACATCATATTTTTTTATCGAACACCTATTAGGTTATATATATATTATAGTTTAAAATAAAAGTTATATGAGAGAAAGATAAATGTGAAATTATAAAGTTTTTGGAAGTAAATCAACTTAGAAGTTTAATTATAAGAACATTGGACAATTACAATGTATATATATATATATATATATATATATATATATATATATATATATATATATATATATATATAATACAAAATAGCATAGTATGGTGCGTTTGGGTACCTAAGCTTATATACCCTTATGGGTATATATATATATATATATATATATATATATATATATATATATATATATATATATATATATATATATATATACTGTTGAAGTAATTTTAATATGGATATTCACATTTGATTAGTCATATATTTATTACAATGCTATTATTTTATTATAAACTTATGTATGTCTATTTTTGTAGTGAATTCTAAATTTAGTTTTAATCTGTGACAATTCATTTATTCCTTGCCGAATAATAACATAAAGTTGTGGATACCACAAAATTAGTGTTTTTATGTTCTCACTCTATTTATTGTTTTTATTTGAATTATCTCCTATATATATATATATATATATATATATATATATATATATATATATATATATATATATATATATAGAGAGAGAGAGAGAGAGAGAGAGTTAAGTTCAAATGTGGATTGACATCTATTGTGCTGACGTATCGAGAGTGCTATTCTATGAGAATGGCAAAGAAAATATGTTGTTTGGTAATTTGAATAAGTTCAATCTGACATAACTATTGTTGTTATCACGCATTCTCACTACTTAAATCGTTTATAAGGTTATTATAGACTTTTTTTTTTCTCATTCTGTCAGAATGTATATTGAGTCTTATTGTGTAAGAATGAAAATAAGTAAAAAATGAAGCGTGAGAACAAAATTGAATAAGAATTATTGAGAATGCTTGAAAATGCCAATAGTTGTATAAAGTTGAATGTATTCATATTAGCAAACAACCTATTCTCTTAATAATTCTCATAGAATAGCATTGTGCACACGTCCGCATAATAGTTGTCAATCGACATTATAACCTTGCCCGATATATATATATATATATATATATATATATATATATATATATGACAAACCTGCCAATAACCCTTTTGCGTCACTGGAACGTAAGTATGTGTACCCTTATATTGGTTCGGATCAACGCCACCAAAAATGATTTCACCACCTTCACCATCCTTAGATTGTTGGTTCAACCAAAATGAAAATACACGGTCCTTAACTAGATGTTGATCGACCATGTTGTCCCTATATAAACCACATGATAAATCGTATTAAATTGGGCAACAAACCATGTCCTTATAATCCCTTGAGCAACTTCACACAATATTAGATGAAAAACAAAGACTAACTTTTAGTGAAGGAATATATATATATATATATATATATATATATAATATATATATATATATATATATATATATATATATATATATATATATAGTCTGACTAAATTGACACAAATACACAATCTTATTTTATTAACATAGACTTTAGATACGTATATATACAAGTGAACCGTTGTAACCCTTGTGAAACATCACTAACAGGAACAATTCCCAATAGTCACTAACTACTTGTTCTTAACAATAACTAACTATAAGTGTCACTATAGAGGTCTATTTTTACATAAACACACCCCTTAAGTTAGACAACCATGACTCCCGATCTTTCTTGTAGGCGATTGAAACTTACTACTTGAAGCGGATCACGATTGAAACTTACTACTTGAAGAGGATCAGTAAACAAGTCTATAATTTGATCTTTGGTGTAAAAGTATGCAACTTTAATATGACCGTTTGACACTATATCTCAAATGAAATGGACCTTAACGCAAATATGGTTGCTCTTATCATTAAATACTAAGAGTTTTTGTTAGATCAAGTCAATATATAATATTTATTGTTACACAAGATCTTTGTAGGTGTTTCTTGTGAGAAGTTTTATTCTTGAAGGATTGTTCTAAACCAAATTAGATTGACATGCAACATTTGAAAGTGATATGTATTTAGCCTTCGTATTCCATGGAAGATAAGGCATAAATTGCTTGGTTCGTTGATTGTCATGACAAAATAGGTATGATCTTGAAAATGATATGCAAGGTGCTTTTACTATCATAAGGACACCCTTAAAATTTATTGTCACTATACCCCTTAATTGAGACAGAATACTTTTTATACACAATTCCATGATTGGTTTCCTTTTTACGAATTTCATAATTCACTTTTTTGCCTCCTAATGATTATTCTTTGGAGTTTTTATAAATATGCTAATAATGTTAATGGCATAGACTAGGTTATGCCTTCTTGTTGTTTAATAGATTAAACTGCCAAGAAGGTTGCGATATGCATGGATTCTTAAATACTTATGATGTATATTTGGTTAACTTTGATCAGAACTCCTTAGGATTGGAAGTTGGATGGAATCAAGAACATCAAATCTTATTAGAAAGAACCCCATAGGAGTGGAAGGTGGGTGGGGATCAAGAACATCAAATCTTATTAGAACATCATTGGCATAACTTTGTTGAGTAATATAAATCCTATCTTTACCCAGGTTGTTTTTTGATTCCCAAAAAGTAATTTAGAAGCCTCACATAAGACATCTGAAACTTGTTTTCGTAGCTTTGTTAAAACCATTTATTCTATCTAAGGAACTACTTGTGAAAAACATATCATCCACATAAATACATAGAATGAAGAGCCTAGTTTCCTATATATCTTTTGAAAGCTTTTGCAAGGAGATACGTGTATATTCTACTATACTATCCGCAAAGTGCATGCTTTATTCAATATAAAGCTTTCTCAAATCTATACATCTTGTGTTGCTATCAAACCTTTACTTATATAAGTGGTATTCACATACACGTATTCTTTTACAAAATTGTTTAGGAATGCTAATTTTACGTCTATTTTGGTGGAATTTTCATTCATGTTGTGCGTCAAGAGCTACGACTAACCTGATTATCTGATCATAAGAGAAAATATCTCAATATGGTCAATGCTAAATTTTTTCTTGTATTTTACGACAAAATGGGCCTTGTATCTAGCTACATTTCCCTTTTCATCCAACTTAGTTTTATATACCCACTTGACACCAATAGACTAATGGTTTTTTGGTAACTTGAGTAAGTCCTACATTGTTTTTTACAATGGATCCAATTTCCCCATACATGGGTTCATTTCATTTACTTTCTTGAATAGCATTTTCATAATTGATTTAGTCAACGCCAATAAAAAGGGTAAAGCCAACCAAAATATCAAATTCTTGAATAGCATCTTCATTAATGTTGAACCTTTTGATGTTGATAAGGACTTTGTTGTGCTTTGTGAAGATGAGAAAGAGTTTGAGTTTGATTTATTATAATTTTTATACAAGTGTGTGTACCTGATTAGAAGATGGAATAGGATTATTTGAGTTGTTATGTTCAACACCTGCTTCCCCTTCTAATTCTCTTTGTAAACGTTATTTTTATAGTTCTTTGTGTTACTTATAGCATCATTCCATCTTTTTTCTCATCAAAAATGGCATCCCTACTAATTATCACATTCTTAGTGAGAGGATTGTACAATATATGTGCTTTCAAACATTCATTATAACCAACAAAATTTGTTTTCTCACACTTATTATAAAGTTTTGATCTCAAAATTAGGGTAAACCACACACCAAAAAGTCCTAAGGTGTGTTACTCTTGGTTTAAACTACTCCAAGATTCTTGGGGAGTTTTATTTGATAAACTCTTTGTTTATATCTATTTAGGAGATACACAGAACATGCAACTCTTTTAGCCTATAAATCATTTGATAATCTGTTTTAGCCTATAAATCATTTGATAATCCCTTTCCATATAACACGTTTCTAGCCATATCGAAAATATCATGTTCTTTCTATCCAATACCTCATTTTGTGTGGGGTGTACCATATGGTAAGTTGATAATGAATTCCATTCTCCTTTAGAAATTCTTCAAAGTAGTTTACATTTTATTCTCTCCGTCATTTATGCTTGAAGCTTTGATCTTATAACTGCTTTGAGTTTCAACAAAGTTCTTCAATGTTTTGAATGAGTTGAAGGCTTTTAATGTTTGTTTTGAGAAGTAAATCAAATTTTTACAAGTATAATCATCTATAGAGGTAACTATATATCAATTTCTTTCATCTGTTGTTGCTTTCATTGGCCCACATGTGTCTGAATGTATAAGCTCGGATTGTTGAAAGGCTCTTCAAGTTTTATCTTTAAGGAAAGCATCTCTTGAATGTTTACCAAGAATTCAACTTTTATATAATTCACTTGTCTTATTAATTTATGGTAATCCCATACCAAATTGTTCTTTTCTCATATAATTCAGGCACCAAAACTTACATGGCCAAATCGATGATATTATATGTGGGGTATAACCCTAATACCAGAACCATCACAAGCCTATGAAATTTGCTAAAAGATATATCATATTAGATCTTATATCAATTTACCTAGCCCAAAACCCATCCCAAATGTTTTAAGTTAGTTTTTCTACCACATTTGGTTATTTTTACCATCCTCATATGCACATATGTTCATATGTATATACATATATGCATCCAGAAAAATAATATCAAATAAACAATAATAGGTTGTATCTCAGAAACATATTCAACAAAAAAATTAATAGTCATGTACACATACATAAAATATTACATGATTTTTTGAACACTTTTCTTAGGCGTTGGGTTCTCATTTGTGTACTACATTATTTTTTCGAAAAATGTTGTTTTGAAAAAGTTCTTTAGTTTTTAATGTTTTTATTTTTTATTTGATCACAACTCTCTCTCTCTCTCTCTCTCTCTCTATATATATATATATATATATATATATATATATATATATATACACACAGAGAGAGAGAGAGAGCTGATATCAAATAATAAGAACCTAAAAATGATAGGAACCCCAATTAAAATGAGCGATTTAGAGATTCAAAAAATAATTTGGTAAAAAGAACATTTTTTCATATGCATATAACGTATAATGTATGTGCATATGTACATATGTTATATGCATATCCCAAAAAGATGAAAGGTAAATATTACTAACATCAGCAACATTCCACGATGACTTAGCACTTTAAACCCATATAGTCCAGGGCCAAATCATGGATGGTGTTAATTGGCATTTGACCATTCGTTCAACAAGATAGAATGCGTTAAGAAGTTGCTACTTACATCTCTTTTTACTTTCTCACACATACACATATATACATACACACAACCACAAAAAAACATAGGAAAACATAGTGCAATATTTGAAAGGAAAACCATGAGTTTATCATTCTTCTTTCAACTTTTTTCTTAATGTGATATTGTACTTTGGTATTTATTTCGGTAAAAATATGAAAGTACATTGTAATATAAGAAAATAGTTGAAAGTATATCGCTCCATAATACATTGCAACGTTCTAACTCTACTAACCCTATTAATTTTAATTGTTTATTACGTTTTTCTTTCCAAAACAATATATTTATAAGATTTTATAGTTTTTTAGAATATAACTTAAAAAGTAGTCATGTTAAATGTTTTATATCTATTATTTATGTTAAATATATATGATTAAACTAGTATATGTTTTTTTTTCTTGAATGAGAAATATATATATATATATATATATATATATATATATATATATATATATATATATATATATATATATATATATATATATAAAACTGTAGTTAAACTTGGTAATCAATATTTTATATCTTTAGTGAATGCATTACAAGAGTATATATACTTTACAATGTTACAATTTGATACCTTCTAATATAATTGATATTGCCATATTTATACTTATTTTTAGGTAGTATTTAAGTACATTTTTATTAATAAATGGATAATATGTGCAGAATAGTGATATTTATGAGTTTAAATTGTTATTTTCAGTCAATACAAAGGATTTTCGAAGAGAGGGACCAGAGGTGACAAAATGGGGAACATGGGAGGCTTGGAAGACAAGAAAATAATAATTTCATAATAAGAGCTTAATTCACGACGTGGCGGTGCATCCCACGACGTGGCATGGGTGTTCCAGTAGATAAACATCGCGACGCGGAGGATTTCCTTGAAGGATACGTTTTACTTGGAGCCCACGACGTGGCGCATATGGCCACGACGTGGCGCAAGTTTTTGAGGATTATATAAGTTCTCCTATTATTACGAATAAAGAGACTTTTGGCAAAAGAAAAGGAGTTCCAAGAGACGTTTCAGAAG